CAAATGCTTCCAATCACAGCCGAACCAAAGGAAAAGGGAATGACAACTCATAAGCCCATGGATGTAACCTAACCTATTTACTTTTATTATGTTTATATCCTTCTTTTTGGCCAAATATTGTCTTCCAGAGCAGCTTCAATGAATAATAAGAATGGGAGTATGCTGCTAGGCATATAAACTCAAAGTCAAGAAGCACAAGAAAAGATGAATGGAGGGGAAAAGCAATGGGGAAGATCAGTTTGACAATTCTGGAATGTTGGGGTGAGCTGTAAACAGGCAATTGTATTCAGTAGAGCCAGGGTGGGTGCTTGGATAGAGGTGCCTGTTCCACTGGCTGGTGGCTAAGGTGTAGAGTGCTTACTGTTTTTTTTTTTCCTGAAGGCAATGGGAACCAAGTATGCCTTCTGGCAGGGAGAAGGGAAACAAATTATCTGCAGTTGCTCCTTCTCTGTTTGATGAAGAGGACCTAGTTAGTTTTTCTCTTGCCAGGATATTCAATAGAGGATGCTGCAGCCTCCTAAAGAAAGACTCTTTCCTGCTGCTCATCTCAAATGATTGTTTAGCATTTCATTTGAACACAGGTCCACATGGATTTAAGACTAACGAATTTATTATGGCATAAACTTTAATGGACTGCAGGTCATGTAATCCACTGCACCTGCAGTCTACAAAAGCTTATGTCATAGTGTGTCCATTTGTCTGTAAAATGCCATAAGACTCTGTGTTGCTTTTGCAACACTCTAGCCCCCTTGAAAATGTGAATGGATAAGGACAGTGAAAGGGGTTTAAACTGTAACACAGAAATAAATAGAACATAAAAATAATAGATTTTAATTCAGATCCAGAACTAAACAGATCACAACATTTTATCAAAGGCAATATCCTCCAGTTGGTTGAATAATCAATTGCTATCCACTATTTATTTGACTGTCTTTCAATTGAGTCACATTTAAGACACAGAAAGTTTATTTTGAGGAAGATTATAAGGTCATAAAGCCATGTAAGCCAGTGGAAAATAGAGTTTCCTGCTATATTTCTGAGAGTTTCTCCATTGCATAATACATTAAATATTTCTCTTTGGGGGACTATAGGGAATGATAGCTACATCTGGTTTATGAATTAAAATGAATCGCAAAGCTCTGTAGCTGCTGTCTGCAGGTTTTCTAACAGAGTTGTGTATTTGTCTCATGGAGTGTTGTACCTCAGCAATGTTTTCAACAGTTGCTTTCTTATTCTATGTCAACAGGTCTGTGGGCTCTCTCCCACCTGTAAAATAAAAATGCCTGAAATTGGCCTTCAGAATATTCTCTTCTAAAGCAAGCCTAAATTTTTGAACACTAGGTCTTAACAGCACAGTTGCTGCAAATATCTGTTCTTGGGCAACATTCAAGCTGAATATAAACTATTAGTAGTGAAATTTCACCCTGATATAACATGTTGCTTTAGTGCTAATTTTGTTGCCATAGTTACCAAGTTCCTTTTGATACATTTTGCAATACCAAACATGTTGCTTTTTGGATTCTGTTGTCAGACCATCTCAGTTCTCTCATACTAGAGAATTATTTACATGCTTTAAGAATCATGCAAGGTTTATCATTATGTACAAATATCTTTTCCACTTGAAAGGGTCCATTTGAACACTTTTCTCATTGTTCTCTGGAGCTCATACAAGTCCTTTAATATGTCTATTGCTGTGGATAGGAAGCTGCCATTGGCCTTTCTATCTAGTATTGTCAACACTGATTAGCAACAGTTCTCCAGGGCTTTTCAGATTAGATTCTTTTCTAGCTCTACCTGGAATTGGGTCTCAAGAATTGAACAGGGAACATTTTATAATGCATGTACTCTTTTTGATCTTCCCCAACCATCATTGCTTGCCACTACAGTAGGAATTCAGGCTTTATAACAGAGAAAATAAAAGCACTTTATTTATCAGGAGACAAATACATCAGTTTTGGAACTATTATTCACAGTGAAGGTAGAGATGGAGTGGTCAATTTCAGCAAATATGAATTTGAAGACAAGTTTGAATTTTATAAAATGTGGGGGTTATGCCCAATGTATTGATGAATATGTGAACTCCACAGCATGGAGTGTCCATAGTGTCTACACATGCATATGGATCTTAACCTCAAAATGAATGAGCATGGAAGCCTATTTGCATGTGCAGCATCTGGGCTGCCTCATGGCATTTGGGGAAGGGGGTGGAGTACATTAACCATATATAGCAAATTCAAGGGGCAGTGGTTCATTTTTCTGTTGTATGTTTTGTTCCACATCCTGATTTGTTCCTATCTGTTTAGTTTATTCTTTTAATTATTCTGTATTTGTGTCAAATAAATAGACTGCAAAAACAAAACTATGTAAAATGAACAAACGTACCACTTAAAATGATAATATGTGCAACTGGACAAAGTGTCAATGATAAAAAAAGATTTTAAGTATTTGGACTATAAGGTAATCACAAAGCAGAGTAAGCTATTTTTATACAGCAACTATGTTGCACCCACATTCTTGACTGGACCATTTAAATGGTGAGAGTTTTGTTGCCTGTTAAAATGGAAAGGAAGATCCATCTGTCCCCAAAATTTGGTAACAGAAATTATACCATTGTACAGAAAAAAACTTAATGGGTAGCTTGTTGCCAGAGCTAGGAAAGGCACATGATGAGGTAGATTGCAAATGCTACAAAAATTACTTTTGAAATGCTACAATGTTACTGTAGCTGGCAATCTCCACAGTGATTAGTGAAGGGAGATGTCAATGCTACAGAGATTCTAATTGCAAACAGCTGGAACAGCTGGTCAATTCAGATTTTGCCAATCTGTTTGATCATGTGGCAGATATCTTGCAAGTTCCACTGACCTTAGAGCTGAGCTGATATCACAGCAAGGGTATGTTAGTCCCATTCTTGATGGATTTTGTTGTTAGTTTAAGTGTGCAGTTAACAGAAATACATAATTACAACAACTAGCAACAAAAATGTATAAATAATAAGAGATATATTATTGTTTTTAATCTCACTAGTATCAGGAAGCTATTCTGTCATGAACCAGCCTTTACATAAACATCATAGATAACTCTAAGCTAGTTTCCGGAAAGGGGGAATGTTTGATTTATTTATATTACTAGAGAGCTGTATTCCTACACTTTTTAAGCTAAGGATACTAAAAATAAAGCAAGCACATTCTGTTAATCATGATACTTAGTATTATGCATGCCTCAAGCAGCCAGGATTGTGCCCGAAGTGATTTAGAGTAGAATCCTATCCATATGTACTTGGAAGTATGTCCTCTTGAGTTCAATGGGACTTAATCTTAAATAAGTACCTATTTGCAGTCTTAAATGCATATGATTGATTGAGATTTATTTAATCAAACACCTAGATTTAATCTAAATCTAAAATAACACGGGCTTGTGTACTTTGGGGGAAGCGCTAGGGAAGTTACATAATCACTCTATTCACTACTATTCTGAAGAAAAAACATAAGGATGGTGAAGGCACTCTAGCATTGCTGGGACAAAGGATCAAGAGGTTTACCTACCTCAAAGTCATGCCTTGTGACCTGCATCTTGCAATCCTATGGCAGCAGCATCTAGCCTGATTTTTGTACTCTCTGCTTTATGGCATCATTATAAAAGTAACGTCCACCTGTGGAGTTCGTCACTTCATCCTTTGCTGGGAAAAGGGCTGCTTCCTTTTCCTGGCAGAGTTCCATTCCTTCCTACGACTGCCTAACAAGCAGATAATTCAACAGGTGAAGCTTCTCTTGGTACATTTCCAGATAGGAAAAGGTTCCACTTGTTGAATTTATGCCTGGTGTGTAATTGTCACTGGCAAAGCAGTCCTGTCAGGAACGGAAAGAAGCGAGCGAGTGCGTGCGTGCAAGGGAATGCTCTCATCACTATTAATGCTCGCGTGTGCAGGACCTAACCGTGGCATCAGAAAGTGGCTCTGCCACTAAATCTCTGGCAAGCCCCGCGTTTCCGCCTGGTAGCATCTGCGGGCATTTTGTGTTGTCTCTCCGTCCATGTTAATCCCACAGTGGGGAACGCAGCGCTGGCGTCTGGAAGCGCGCTGAGCTGTCCGCTTAACTTCCGAGCTTTATTCGGCTTTCTGTTCTTTCTCTGCCCTTACATCGACGCGCTCCTGCTAGGGGACCGCCCGTTGGAGTCCGTAGGGGACCGCTTCCTGTACCGTGCCCAAGCCGTGTGGAAATCTGTGCTTGCCTGTTCTCCTCTGGCCTTCTTTTCACGCTCCCCTGCCGGAGATAAACCGCCCCTCCCCCCGAGCACCGGAGGCGGCCGGCTAAAGGGGGGGGGGGAGAGGAGGAGGAGGAGGAGGAAGAGGGAGCTGAGCTCTGCCATAGGCGAGAGCGCGCGCGCGCCCTGAGGGAAGGTTAGTGCGCTCTGGCAGCGACGGTGGCGGAGACTTTGCTCTTTAAATTGGTCTCAAAGCCGATTACAGCTGATCTCCCACGTGATATTTCCCCTTCTGGCGGAGTTTGGCGGGGCGGGGGAGGAGGAGTAGGAAGGGGACCGAGGGGATTGCGCGAGCGTGGCGCGCCGGTCCTCGAGAAGAACCATCAGAAAAACACCCCTCGCAGAACTTTTCTGGGCGCAGAGCGCGTAAAGGACAGCCTTTGGCTAGGGACTCGGCACGAGCCGGGCGCCCAGGGGAAGCTGAGGAGCTCGCGGTCTGCCAGCGTTTGAAGCTCCGGAGCCCGGCAAGGGCGCCCAGGGGCGGCGACGCCACCATCACTGCCGCTCAGGACGGAGGACAGCGCCGACGCGACGGCCCGCGGCGGCGCGCCACGGAGCGGAGCGGCCGTGCGCCTGGCTGCCGCTGCTCTGCCGCGCTTCCGCCGCCAGGAGAAGCCGTGCTCATGAGGCGCCCTCGCCGCTCCTGTCGCTGCCGGACGATGCGCTCCCGCTGAGGAGGAGGGGGACCGCAGGGCTCCGGGAGCCAGGTGGACGCCGCCGGCGCCGGTCGAGGCACCATGCAGAAGAGCGTGCGCTACAACGAGGGGCACGCCTTGTACCTGGCCGTGCTGGCGCGCAAGGAGGGCACGAGGCGCGGGTACCTGAGCAAGAAGACGGCCGAGACGAGCCGCTGGCATGACAAGTGGTTCGCGCTCTACCAGAACATGCTCTTCTACTTCGAGAGCGAGCAGAGCGCCCGGCCCGCGGGCATGTACATGCTGGAGGGCTGCAGCTGCGAGCGGGCGCCGGCCCCGAAGAGCGCCTCCGCCGCCAGCGCCAAGGACGCGGCGCTGGACAAGCAGGTAGCTGCCCCTCCCCGGGGTTCCTCCGCTCCCCCCCCCCAGCACGAAGCTTCCGAGCTCTCCCCCCGCAGCCTCGCTCCCCGAGTGCCGAGCTCCGGGCGCGCGAGCGGGAGCCTGAGGTCGGGGGAAATGGGGCGCCGAAGCTGCCAGGACAGCACGCGGCTGTCAGTCTCTTCTTCCGAGAAGTTTTGATCCTTTGGCCGCGTTCCGCGAGCGCCGGGCAGCAGGGGGAAGCCGTGCGCGACGCGCTGGTCGCCACTGCCCGCTTTGCGAGCCCTGTCCTAAACGGCACCATTCCGGCTTGCGCTCTTGGGGGAAAGTGGAGGATGCCTTTCTTTGCACCTTCCTCCGCCCTCTCTGTAGGAGATAGTGACCTCGTGTAGGTCCTGCCGGCTGTCCGGGCCACCGAGCCTTGTCGTTTGCGCCCCTCACGCCTGAGCTGCGTTCAGTTGTCCAACTAGTGGGCTTCAAGCAACTTACAAAGGAGAGCCCCTCTCTAAAGGCACTTCAATGTTTTGTAAATGGTGGTGGTGTAGTGAGGAGGGCACCTGAAAATCACCTGGGCTAGTTTTCAGAATTCTGAGTATATTGATAGTTTCAATAAATTTCAGACACTTTTTGACAAAGGGGGCTAGCATGGTGGATAGAACATTGCTCCAGTCAAGGGCGTAGGCTACCTGCTTGGGCAGGTGCTGTTTTACCTTCTCCCTCCTACATGTGCGTGGCCCCTTGAGCCTGGCTAGAGCCATTTTGTTCTTCATTGCTTTGGCACCCAGACTTTTCTAGGACTGAGTCTAAGCAAAATGGAATTGGGGGCTGTTCTAATAGATTCCTGCATTTGAGGCTTAACACGTCCAGGAACAGCACTTGTAGCCTCACTATACAGCTTCAGGGAATGATACAAGACTTGCCTCTGTTGGAAATTGTTCTTTTTAATAGCAAGATGGCATACGGTCTTCTGTGTGAACAGGAAGAACACGATAGGCAATGCATCCACTTTAAATGCGTTCACAAGGATAGTTCTTTCACTCATCTACATTAGAAAGTACTAATTTTCCATCTTACATTTTCAACAAAACCTGTGGTTTAAATATTTTTCAATGGTTTTTGTTGTTGCAATTGACCAAATACAGTTTGTGGTACTGATTTATGTGAAAAAATATACCCTCTGGAACTTGGATGAATAAAAATATTTTGGAGTACTCAAATTTAAATTTTATGAAATAGTTGGAATGGTTAGGCAGTCAAAACATTGAGCTTGAATAATTGGATGCTGATAGAGCTGGCACTTCTGCACTCTTCTTATCTGGAGTTCTGTGTATGAAGCCAGTTTATCTGACAATCTGTACACCGTATTGTTTAAACCAAACTAATTGGATTTTGACAGGCACAACTCGCAAGTTTTAATTTGACTTATTTCTTTAAACATAACTCTAATAAATACTGCATTTAGACCAAAACACTTCTGTGGTTATACTATTGGGATTCTCAATGTAAGAAATCAGAGCTTGGTCATTCCAGTGGGTTTTTGAAGACTCCATTGGATCCACCAGATAAGGCAATGATTCACACTGGGTTTGGTGTCTTAGCCATTGGAAAAGTTCAGTAATGGAGGCAGAAATGTATTTCTTAGGTGAACCTAAAGCAGAACTGTTCCAGGTCTAAAGATCTATCTTTATTGATTGAGTAGAAGAGGTTGGCTGCTGAATTGGATTCTTAACAGTTATGTTCTGCTTGATAAACTTACAAAACAAAAGCAGATTATATTAGCAAACTACAAGTGATATATGTTGCAAAATAGGAGAAAGAGTAGTACTTAAGGATAAGATATTTGATCCTTGTTTCTTGGGAAAGCACTGTAGGAGACATCAGATTTGATGGCCCTGTTTTCACTGTATTTTTCAGTCTGAGAAGGAATCTAGTAGGTGTTGAATCATTTCTCCTTGACTTGTGAGATCAAACCTGTGTCAGTCAGGTAGGGAGTGTTGGATTTTCATTCTCAAAAAAAAAAAAAGAGAAAAAAAAAAAAAAAGTGGTGTGGGAGGGGCCCTTTTTCAGTTTTAAGCTTCTGACTTTTTTGAAAAATAAGTAAAAATAAAATCTTGAAGTGCTTCAGAAATCTTTCCACCATTTTAACCTATTATGAAAGCAAATCATGCTAGGAGAACTGCATTTGTAAAGCATCTCTTATTTATTTAGACACATATTTATAGGCCACCTATAACTCCCAAGGTTTTCCTCTTCAAGTGTGTTATATGATAATGCAACATTCCTGTGCACACTTATTGAAATCAAGGGGACTAAGTAAATAGCCTTATAATTTAACATTTTCCCCCATTTTGTAAGGTGTAACTCCTTTCATATTTACCTAGCTGAATCTGAGCATACATATACTTAGCTGGTGCATAATCTGGTTTTGTAGTGAGCTTCTAATCTAAACCCACAGGTAAAATTATATTTACTGCTATGTATTAATGCTTGCTTATTGGAATGATTAATGCAGAGCAGGAAATATATCTTACCTTCTGTCTTAGATAAGACAAACCTTTCATTTGCTCTTGATGTCTTCTGCTTTTGTTTAAGAAATATGGTTAGTGAAAACCTTACGAAAAACAAAATTTGTTTTACGATGTAGTCTCTATGATTGGAACTAGGTCCTCTGGATTTAAGTGATATTTTCCATAATCAGTTTGGATCATAGTGTATTCCTAAGTAGACTTTTTCAGAAGCACGTTTTACTGAGATAGGGCTTACTCTCAGACACATTTGCATAGAATTGCACTGTCTGGGACCAGCTCTCTGTCACATGATACAATGCACATATTATTTGCAATGGTTATTATATTGCTTTAACAACATGATTCATGATATTGTACTGGCAACAGATGTCCACTGATGCTGATTTAGTGATGCTCTTGCACCTTCTGTGCCTCAGCATCAGTGATAAATAAGACAGAATTGCCATGCAGCTCTAACTATACATGGCCCATAAGTATGGATAATGCTGCAGCTTTGCGCTCATCATCACTTCGATAGTTTTCTTGGCAGAGAGAAGACTTGAATGACTTTACTGCATATGCATTATATATGTCCCAAGGAAACACCGCTTATATGTTTTCAATTTAATAATGCCAGCTATGTAATGCCAAATATCAGGGCAGATGACTTGGAGGCTACCAGAAAGGAAATGGGGTTTGTTTGTTTAACTCCATTTCTATGCTGCTCCATAACCTGAAGGTTTAAGTAGAGGTTCAAGCGGACCATCTAGCTGCCTGCAAGCAGCTTGGCCTGTGTGGAGAGAAAAGATGCTCAGAATAATGAGCCAAGCCAGAGTAATCATCAGACCAGCTGGATGAGCCCCGATTGGATCATCAGGCTACCTGATTACCACTGGAATGAAAGCTGCAACCCACTTGGTGACTTTGGGCCGGTCACAGACTTTCATGCCAACCTACTTTACAGGGTTGTTGTCTCAATAATTGGCTTAAAAACGAAGAAATGACCTTGATAGCCCTTCTCCTAAAGTTCTGACTAACAAACAGGGCTCCTCCAGCTGGTCCTTCTGGGTTGGTGCTTTAACTTGTGTGATACCTCTGAACCTGCCTTCTTTCTTTTGTTAAATGTTCACAGAGAAGTTGCCAGCTTCCTTTCTTGCTGTCTTGCTCTAGCAGCTAGGCAGGAGTAACCTATTTCCTACCTGCGTTCCTTTGAGAACAGCAGCAAAGATAGCTGCCACCGATTTGGCTATTCCATAGGTTAAATAGGCACAAACCTTCCAGACCTGTTTTGATCAGATTCTAGATCAACTGCAGGCCCCACTCCAGCACATCACGTTATGTGATCTGTATTAAGAACACCTATTCTGAACATAGTATGATATACTCTTTTAAAGACCACTGGGCAGCAGTACTGAAGGTGGGAGAAGTGTTTTCTCATTATTTAGACTTCAGTTTTGCATGTGAATTTAGTTCATAAGGTGCTTGAAATGTAAGGTGTGTGTCAGTATAGCAAGCTGGAAATGAAGAAAAAGGTATAAAGTGTTATGAAAAAGTGTTTAACCACTGAAAAAATCAGCAACCCTGCAAATCTGTTGTAAGAATATTACACAGGGTAATTACTGCAACATAATATTGCTTGTAGAAAAGCCTTTTTGCTTTAAGCTCTGTGTTTTATTTCTTCATGGCTCACACATTTCTAGCATTTGGTTAGGAACAGCACTACAAGGAATTGGTGTAGTTCTCCTGTTTTGATTTTAAAGCAAGTTAATACATCAATGTAGTTTTTGGTTGTATAGGGTCATAGCCTAATCTAACTCAGTGTTTTGTTGGTGAAAATAAAAGGGGTGTGTGAGGAACGCAGCCTCTTCATTTAATTGTACCTTATCTTACTCAGATGTTGGTTACAACAGTGTTTCTCCTTCAAAGCAAATGGAACATGTATTTTGAGAAAAGGAAAATATTTTTAATGGCCTCACTAGTAGTTGCCAAGTCCAGCACTATTGTTTATTCCATCATCTTGGTACCATTAACAAGGTCTTGTGGAAACTAGTGTCTGCATCAGTGTTTAAAAGTAATGGTATCACTCTCTTCATTATGATTTGATATACTTTAGGCCTAAACTCTGGCACTGAAATCAGGTTTGGGGCTAAATTCAGGTGTGGCCACAGTGATCACAGTTGGCACGTTTCATAAGCCATGGTGCAGTCTCACCAATGGGTGTCCGTTGTGTTGTCGGGAACCAGTTCTGAAGTTCTTTCATGGTAGGATTAGTTTTCTGAAACCACAGAGAGAATCAATTGGCTTTTCTAAGGTTTCTCCAGTTTTCTGCACCCAGGATATGCATTTTATCATGGTTGGTATGGAAACATCATAGACTCCTCTGGCAAGAGTGGTCACAGAAGCAGTTGCTTCCAGCCTTCGATTTCGACTGCCCTCTGCTCCCTAGCAGCAGATGGTTCATTGTTTGCTTCATTTCCACTAGCTGAGTGATGTTTCCATCTC